TGGGGCACGGGTCCCAGGCGGGCGCTCATGGTCAGCACCCGCGTAGCCATGGGCACTCGAGAGGCTGCGGGCGCGGGGCGATCGCGCTTCCCACCTCACGCGGGCTGCTCGGGATGGCGGAGTCGGCGCGGGGCCGCGGGCGACCGGGACGCTGCGGGCGGACCCCTCGGCCAGCAGCCTGCGGTTTGCGAGGTTGCGCAGGCGGATCAACACTCCTAGCTCGGCCACGCGTCCACGCCACGGTCCTCAGGGCCGCACTTTCTCCCACCCCGCCCCAGCGCTCTCTAGCTCCCGGGATCCCGCTCCCGCCTGCACCAGCTCCCTGGACGAACTGCGAGCGCGCGTACCTGCCCCGCGACTACTGACACTTGACGCCCGCCTCTATTTCACCCAACCGCGGGGAGGCGGGACTAGCCCGCCCGATTGGCAGCGTCATGGCCAATCGAGAGGCTCCTGGGCAGGTCGGCCCCGGCAGCTCACCAATCGGAAGAGAGGCACTTATACCAGGCCCCGCCTCCCCCGGGCCAACCGCACCCCTCCCGGCCACGAGCTTCGCGCGCAGGGCTGAGGCGCAGTTTGTACACAACTTCTCTGACAGATTGGCCCGCGGAGCATGGGGCGGAGGGAAAGAGCGGAGCGGGTGGAATCTAGGAAGAGGGGGAATCAGGGTGGAGACGCCGAGGGAGATCTCCCCGAACTGTTCTCTGCCAGGATTAGGGCGAAAAAAAAGTATTGCACGTCTTAGGTGTTGTGCAAGGACCTGAAACTCAAAAGCTGAAACCCAGGAGGCAGCTAGGTGGGGGAGCTGATGTTTTCAGCGACTTGTTTAATGAGTGTGTATTTTTAAATTTACAAAATGTACTTTAGAGGAGAAACTAGGGGCGGTACGGTAACAAATGTAAAACAGCTCTTGTTTCTAGGTGTCTTCAGCTCTGGATCTAGTCCTTTAGCAGATCCCTTATGTCCTGAACAAAAGCTGTAATGTCAAGCATTTTTTCAAGTCCTTGCATACCAACCTGGGCATATTTTCCCCCTTCAGTATTTAAATAGCTAGAAGTTTTCACACACATTTCTACCGTCTGTCCGTAGCTGTGTGTGGAAGAAAGGGATGGGCCGTATGAATTATGGCGTTTTTGATATTTAAACCATGTTGATTCTAGCCGAAGCTCGGAATCTAATTTGAGCACTAACAACTAGCTCAAATGGGTATTTAAATAGATATTACATCTTTGACTTATTTTTGCTAGCACTGTAGTCTGAGGGGAAAAAATGGAGTTTAATATATTCAGAAGAGTCATAGCCCATTTACTTAATGCATGGCACCTTTTCCTACGAAACAAGAACCGAAGAAGCCACAAACATTCACAGACACTCGAGGGCTCTGAAAACTGGGAACTCAATTTTTTGTAGGAAAGTAACAGCCAAATATATTACTGTCCATTTACTGCATTGTTATAATGGAGGGTGAGTTTTGTTTTGTTGTTGTTGTTGTTGTTTTGCCAGCAATCACCGAAAGGAAACCACTTCCCGTAATCCTTAATGTCTTGTACATGATTTTATCTAGCTTATTGGGAAGCCAAAACAATGAACTGCAATAAAAATGCCTGTAATAGTACTACATATGTATATATGTTGACAGCACATTGTACCTATAGAAGAGGGCACTTACCACAACACAGTAAAACAGGTTTGAAAAAGTTCTTAGAAAAAAAAAAAAGTACACCTCAAAGAGTATCAAAGGCATGGGCCTCATTTTCAATGTCTCAGTGAATTAATATGCATAAAAAGTATCAGATGTATTCACTTTAGAAAAGATAAAATTATACTGTGAACTAGATTTCTTTTCCACCTTCCCTTCCTCTTCGATACATGATTCATTTTTATAGCTGTGGTCGCTGCTTTTAGAGAATGGGTGATGACTACTTTCATGTTGCCAGAGTATAATTTAATAAATGTCGTTGCACATATGTTTCTAAGTGGATGATTTCACACTGTCTATCTTTGTCTTTAAAAATCTGGCCTAATTTCCACTGATATTAAACCTAATCATGCAGTCAAATAACTTAGAGACAGGTCATAGAATTGGTGTGAGATTTAAGGGAACTTATTAAAAACAGGATCGTTGAAAGATTTTTAGTTACTTAATACTGAAAATATACATGGTCAAACCAGATCGTGTGAGATAGATAACTCTTAATAGAACTTCTCTGCTCTTTTATCTTTAAGCTAAATCCAACTAGAAGTTAATACATCTTGGAACTTATCTGTACTTTAATTTGCTTTTAAATGTATCTAGACCTTCTTTTGTGTTTCTTGTCACCAGAGCCTCAGCGAGCCTGTAATTTCCACCTACATTTTTACTGCAATAAGATCCATTTATTTTACTGGAAATGCTTCGAAATTTCACACTGGTTTTTACAAAACCTTTCCATTACAACAAAACAAAAGCCCACAGAACTATCTGACAAGCTCTTAGTAGATATTTTTATAGTCTTGCCACTTTTTTATTTTCCATATTTCTTAATGAATATAGATATGAGCCTGGCTTTGGTACGGTTCGTGTAGCTAATGCACTTACAAATTTTAAGATATCTGAATATACATACATATAATATATGTATATATATATATATATTTGCGCAAATATGGCAGCACTTATTTAAATTTCATCTCTGGCATAAAGATTCATGAAATAGGGCTGCCACTTTTAAGTAATGGTTTCTCTGAAATCCTTAGCTCTTCAATCTCACAGAAAATAACTAGCTTAGCTGCATACAATAGTGAGGAAATTGGAAAGTAATCCTTTTCTGAGACCTATGCCATGCAGTTCTGAACACATAGAGAACATGTTCAACCAACACAAATGCCACAGCTGCAAATTTGTTTCATGGGCTTACTAAAAAGGGTTAAAACCTGATAAATATTTTTCAAATTTTCCAGGTCGACCCTGGCGTGCAGCCAGCCAGTGTGAATGGACAAGATCCTCAATTACTTTGAACTTTCTAGTTCTTTGCATTCTTTCCTGCTTAGTAGTGCTGTACCATTAGGGAAGATGGGAGAAAACAAAAAACAAATGTCAGCTTTCAGAAATCAATTAGTGGCCTGGCAGTGGTGTGTGAACTGAAGTGTGCCAAAACAGGGGATTCTGAGGGAAAGAAAGAAAAATGTTGAGTAGTCAAGCTAGCTAGGAGGGTAAGCGTAGAAGCAGTGTGCATGCTTAGATCCTTAGTCACTGGGCAGCACAGATTTACTCTTAGAATAAACCCTAAGTGTCACTATCTTTACGGGAATAAATATGCCTGAATGTGTGGGGGCTGAGCCTGCATTCAACCACGGGGGCGGGGGCTTGGAGGAGGCAGTGGAAAAAAACAGATAAATAGCTTCTGCGTGATGAGACGGGAAAGCAGGGAGCTACAGCAGGGCAGTGTTCACCTGAAGACAGGGCAACAGAAAGAGCTATAGTCAGCTGTGTGTCGATCACAGAGAGCCACCCAAGGCTAACTTTCTTTGCTTGGGAGCCTATCCACAGGATATTCCATTTCTGTACAATCAGAATCAAATTATCAAGTGATACTGGGCCACAGAAAAGGCATGAGATTGAGCAAAACTGACTTCTGATCAGTATACTGTTCCTGAGATAAGATTATTTAATTAAAAGTGATATATTCATTGTCTATCCCGTTAGAATCGAAATCAATGAAAATACAGAAGCTATTTTGTCCTCCAACATCTCATATCTTTAATCTTTTTGTTTTTGCATTAATAACTACTTGAAGCCACACATTTTTTTTAAAAGTTATTGAGACAATAGCACAGTAAATAAAAGTTCCAATTCAGATTAGTCATAATGTGAACGGTTTTGACTCAAATATTAAAAGGAGAATAGATTTTCTGTCCACTTCTTTTGTGATGAAAGATACGTAATTAGCGTATTTAAATTACTTCATTTTGTGCTGGGTGTGGTGTTGCAAGCCTTTATTCCCAGCTTCTGGAGACAGAGGCAGGCAGATCTCTGTGTGACCACACCAGCCTGGTCTACAGAGCAAGCTCTAGGATAGCTGGAGCTACAGGGAAACCCTGTCTCGAAAATGAAATGAAACGAAATGAAATGAAATACTTCATTTTGTATAAATTGAAATGATGTCTTCCTAAGAAAACAATTTAATATCCTAATTTTGTACTGTCTACTGTGTCTTGGTCTTAAGAAAGACATTTTATTTAATTTTGGACTTAAATGCGTTCTCCATAAAATATTTTACAAGGCTCCCATTTATGTACTGCAATTTATCCATCCTAGTTTTATACCTCTAGTAATATGTCAAACAAATATCAATAAAAAATAAAATAGACTTTTACCTTTTGGAGGGACTGGGGTTGCTTTTCCCACCTTGTTAATATACTAAGCAGACGAAAGCGAAAAATACAGATGCCTTAGACCAATTTATAGGCCAGACATACTGCAGCTGAAACTGTACAGTATTTGAATTCTGACTCAAAATATGATAGGGAAGGTTTAAAGACAATTCCTGAGCTGAAGCAATTCCACCAAACAATCTTTTAGAACATGGGGGGAGGCTACATCATCAGCATCACAATGAGCCAATTGTTAACTATGTGTGACAAAGGCAGTAATGGTTGCAGGCTGTGGAGCGCAGGCAGGAATGCTCCAGTGGTCTGTGCGTGGTTCACAGAGAAACACTTTTGTAGGCACTGACTCAGATGAAATGTACCAAACTGGTGCTGGGACTAATGCTGGTTCTTCATGCATAAGTTTATGTGCTGCTGTGGCCACAGAAATATGGACAGCTTTGGGGGAGGACAGTTTGATAACAACTATGAAAAAGGGGAAAAATATAGAT